GCGGGGGGTAGGGGGGAGGACAGCGGCAGCCCCCCCAGCTCACGGCTTCGCACCCCAGCGTGTCGCAGGCTCTTCCCTGGGGCAGAGGAGGGGGGAGTGCGGGTCCCCCCCCTGCCCAAAGCCACCCCTCTGCGCCAAGCTGTCCTTGCTGGGGGGCACGAGGGGGGGTGTCTCTGCTCTCCGCTCACTGCCTGTGCTGCCCCTCGCCCCCTTCTCCCCCCTTGTTTTGTGGTATTAACATTTGTTTTCCCTGCAGCCGACCTCCACCCGCGTAATGCTGAGATGACGGGGGCGCACCGCACAGGAAGGGGCTGGCCTCAACCCTGTCCCAGCCGAGCCGTCACCCAAAGCTGTGGCGTTGTCCCCCTCCGTGGCGTTGTGTCCCCCCCTCCCCAGCGATCAAGTAGCCACCACCCACCACGGCACAGATCACAGGGTCCGGCCTCGTCTCTCTTTATTCTCCATGAAAGCAAAGGGAAACGTCACGGCCTGACACCGACCCCTCAGGAGGTGACACAGGACTGTGCCTGTCCCCTCCTCCGCACAGAGGGGTCCGAGCCCCCCCAGGGAAGACACAGGACCCCTGCCCCCAGCTATGGAAGCCCTGGGCAAGACGTCCTCCTGGCTTGTCTTCTTCCAGGGTGGCCACGCGGACAAGGGCTCCTGCTTCCAGCCGGCGAGCAGAGCCCTCAACTGTTCCCAACGGAGGCAGTGGGGTTTATGGCACCCAACGATGGGGGAAACGTCCCCAATTCCGGACCCAGCCTTCCCTGGGTGAAGGCAGCTTGGTGCATGGACGGACACACAGATCTCCAGCACACGAGGAGATGGGAAGCACGTCCGAGTGCAAACCTGCTTTGCACATGAGCTGAGTGCCAGCTCAGTCCCCCAGGACAGACGGATGGACAGACAGCAGTTCACCGGGGGCTGCTTCAGTCCCCCAAACAGGACACAGCAGCACGGCACATCCCGGCTCTCGCACCGGCTGCCAAAGGCACAGAGTCCCCAGCGTCCCCACGCGTCCCTCTCCGCAGCACAGCGGCCACCACACGCAGATCTGTGAGTCCACAGCCCGGTCCAACCTCCTCCTTTTCCGGCAAAGCCTCTTCAGCTCTTCCTATGGATCCGGGGTTTGGAAAATCACCGTTGAGGTCCCGGGTCACCGAGCCACCGCTGTGCCGCGGGGATGGACACTGGCACTGCCGTGATGCGCCGGGGCTCAGTACCATGGGTCGGCCCGGTGCTGCTGGTTGTAGAGCTGGAGCTTGATCTGGTCTCTGATCTGGTTGATGAGGATCTGAGCCAGCAGGATGCCCACCAGCTAGAGGAGAGGAAGAGGAGAGGAAGAGGAGAGGAAGAGGAGAGGAAGAGGAGAGGAAGAGGAGAGGAAGAGGAGAGGAAGAGGAGAGGAAGAGGAGAGGAAGAGGAGAGGAAGAGGAGAGGAAGAGGAGAGGAAGAGGAGAGGAAGAGGAGAGGAAGAGGAGAGGAAGAGGAGAGGAAGAGGAGAGGAAGAGGAGAGGAAGAGGAGAGGAAGAGGAGAGGAAGAGGAGAGGAAGAGGAGAGGAAGAGGAGAGGAAGAGGAGAGGAAGAGGAGAGGAAGAGGAGAGGAAGAGGAGAGGAAGAGGAGAGGAAGAGGAGAGGAAGAGGAGAGGAAGAGGAGAGGAAGTGAGGCAACTGCCAAAGAAGGTTGAGCTGCAGGATGGTCCCTTCTCCCCCTCCCAGTCCCCAGGGGGGGACAGCCCCCGTACCTGGGGGACGGCCAGCCCCAGGGCGATGCCCCCCAGCAGGAAGAGGTTGCTGTGGATCCAGTTGACCAGCTTGTCGATGCAGCCGTTGGTGTAGATGAAGGCGCTGGCCTCCAGGTAGCTCATGGCCTGCATGCCCTGCCCGCACATGGTGTTGATGACGGCCTGGGAGAGGAGGTGGGGGGACAGGACAGAGGGGTTGGGGACAAAGCACGCTGGCCTGGAGTGTGTGGGGGGTGTCACTGCACTTTGGTGGGCAACCGTGACCTCTGCCCTCGCCTCGGCGCCACTTGGGGTGTCCCCTTTGGCGTCCCCAGCCTCCACCGCTGGGCTCCCTAAACACCCCCAAAAATGGACAATACCTAGGGGGTGGCAGGGTGCCCCAAGGATGCCCGGGGTGTGTGTGTGATGTCCCCCCCTCCTCAGGACGCCGTCCTCACCTCCCGGGTGTCCTGCAGGCAGCAGGAGAAGGGGACGGAGCACCGCTCCCGGCTGGGGTTGGCAGCGGTGCAGTTGAAGTACATGTTCTGGGACCAGTCCTTGTAGGAGACGCCGCCGCAGCAGCTGAACTGTGGGGAAGGGTACGGGGTTTTCAGTGCAGGGTGGGGACACCCCGGACCACCAGTCCACTCCACATGGTTTTAGTAGGTCCTACATCAACACAGGCTCCAAGGGAGACACTGAGGGCTGTTTCTCCCCCCACTATTTTCATCCAGCTCTTCACCGCAAACATCAAATCTTCATGGAGGAGCCACCCAAGGTCCTCAACCCAGAGGACCCCATGGATTTAAGGCGAGAGCCAAGACCCCGAAGCCAGACCCACGAGTGGGGACATGTCCTCAATCCCTTGAAGGGACATCCCAACGTTCTTCCCCCACCATGCACGCACCTCCTTCTGCCCGAAGTCGATGAGGTTCTGCAGGTCCAGGTCATCCCGATAATGCATGATGGCACCATTAATGATCTCGCTGACCTTCCCGCGTGCCTGCAGGGGGAACATGACACGGGGATGGGGACATATCAGCAAGGTTGTCACCCACCGGGACAGGCTGGGGGTGT